TATGGGGCAGTTCTACTCTGTCCTATATGGTCGCTATAAGTCAGAATCTACCAGATGGCAATGGGTTTTTGGTATATAAATATATAGTATGTAATTTTATACATATATATGTATATATATAAAATCACTAAATCACAAACTCCAGACAGAAAGTCTATTTAGAAAATATTCAAAATATTCACTCTCTTTCCTCCTACATCTTTGGAAAGTATAAAAGTCCCTACCTGAAGTTGGGCTTGGCCACATAACTGGTTTTGGCCAATGGAACAATTAAACGTGAATAAGAGTGATGGTGTGTGTTAAGGCTGGGTCTAGGCCTTAAGAGCACTGGGAGCTGCCAATGTTCATACCAACTCACCACTGTGCCTTCAGCCTAGGCTCCAGAATGAGACAAGTGAAGCAAGGCTACCATAAGCAAGCTACAGACCAATTCTTGCTGTGTACCACTGCATTTTGCGGTAGTTTATTATACCTCAAGAGCTGACTAATACACAAAGTGGAATGGGATGGAAAAAACGATTGTCAAGCTATATAAAAGTGTGCAGATGATAGTGTGAGTGGGATGGCACAGACGGGCGAACCTGGGAAGGATTCTGGAGAAATGCTTACTAATCTGAAGCCAACATGTTTATGTCTTCTCTGCTCTCATGGTCGTGCAGGTTCACCATATGCATTTACAGGGACTGAAATGTAAAGACTGCTGTTTTGTGGAGAATAAAGGATGCTATACATTGTATTAGAAGAAATACAACCAGAATGCTGCTTAGAAGTGAGGATGGCAAGACTTTGGCTTGCTTACTTTGGATACATCATTAGGAAAGACCAATCTCTAGAAAAGGACATCATGTTTGGTAAAGTATAGGGTCAGCAAAAACAACGGAAACCATCAATGTGATGGATTGACACAACAGCTATAATAATGTACTCAAACATACTAACCATTATGAAGATGGCAAAGGACTGGGCAACGTTTTGTTCTGTTATTTACGAGGTCACCATGAGTCGGAGCCAACCTGACAGCAACAACAATAGTACCATCTAAACCCCAGGTGCCAATGACCCCAAGCAAGGAAAATATGCAAAGGGAATAAATAGAAATCATGTCATAGCTCTATGCTGAACCAACAGCAACATCTTTTGAGAGATGAACTTCAAT